TGGGTGGGTGGATGGATGGATGGATGGATGGGTGTATGGATGGATGGAAGGATGAATGGATGGAAAAGTGAACCACGTTCATACCTCCTTCAGGACATGCTCCAATCAGGTTAATGACGTTCTCATGTTTACCAACCGATGCCATTATTTCGAGCTCGTTTAGCAGGTTTTTCAAGTCTGATTCTGTAGCTGATCCTGTAAATTTGTCAACACTTATCAACCTGTTCGACAAGATACTCAATAGACGTGCCTTTTGTCTAAACTATTAATTATGCGGCGTTTGTACTACGACCCATCAATAACATTTAAAGGTTGAAGGTTACTCACGTTTAAGTTTCTTGACCGCGCAAGGCATTTCCTCTCCACTGTCCTCAACAAACGTCCCTTTGTACACGAGACCAAACTCACCCTCCCCCARTACGTCACCCAGTATGACCCGATCACGTGACAGCACACGCCACAAGTAGTGGTCGTGTAATCCTGACAGTAATCCTACTTGACTCTCAGGTACACTGTTCTTTGAGGACGGCTCTGCGTAGCGATCGTCTTTAGTTAAAGTGAACTTTTTTGTACGAAGTGAATTTAGGGTTGGAGTTTTGTCCTACGTGAAGAGAGAACGTGATATATTAATAATTATTAACTTGGTTTATAGAGGATACCACTTGACAGTAATGTTTTTAACTGATAAACTCGTTGTCGCCTTTTTTAACGTCTCTAGTTAATTAGAGACGGGGCCGCCATTAACGTGATCATCCGAAGAAAAACTGTGGTGAAATATTTTTTAGATTTATTGTTGGGGTTGCCAGGTTTGTTTTGGCGTTGTCAGGTTTTTGTTGGAGTTGTCAGAAACTTGTTGGCGTTTCAGGCTTGTCTAAGTGGTAAAAATGCCTCCTTATAAGAATAAAAAACATTGGCTGTCATGTTAGATGAACGATAACACAGAAATAAAGAAATTTTGGTCTAGTGACACAATGGTGGATATGCGTCGCATGAATTCCAAAAATAAAAGTATCTGAAAATCTGTGCCATTCCTCAGGTTTATTATTGGTATTGGTATTACTCTCAAATGGGTTCCGCAATAAAGGGATGTGATTGGATGTTGTACATATTTGTTCTTTTTGATTGGCTAGAACGGAAAACCATTTGAGTATCACCATGCAATTTTCTATTCATATATAATATATGTCCTTATCATCATCTTAGGATTGAGGAAAGATCTGAAGTTTTAAGTGCCTATCACCCTTCTGACAATATTCTCAGTATTGATTTTACATGAGGTAAGATGTTGAATAACCCGGAAATAGTTCATAGTTTGAGTGCGRCTTCTTGAAGTTATCAAGGTTTTTCCATGTCATATGCTAATGCTGTGACGTATGAGGAGGCATTTATGGTTATTTGTTGTTCCTTGTAATTCGAAATACCGCCTTCTGTGTGAAAATTAACTTGGAATAATTTCTATAAGAGCAATGGGAAAAACAATGACGTATCCCAAATTTTATTTATGTGTGCCAGTAATGTTTTGTATATTAAATGATTACTTCTCATATACGTCACAACATTAGCATATGGCATGGAAAAACCTTTATAACTTCAAGAAGCCGCACTTAAACGTGCTATTCAACATCTTACCCCATGCAGAATCAATACTGTGAATATTTTCAGAAGGGTGGTAGGCACTTTAAAGTATCAATCTAATGAGCCAAGTTACTCACTGTGTAGTTGATCATGGCCACTTCTTCTCGAGCGGCAGGATCATAAGCTCCTCCTCTTCTCTTCTTCAGGATCATTCTAACGATACAGACGATAAGGAACACGAGGATAATGAACACAAGGATAGGAACGAGAATGAGAAGAACCCATTCACTCTTGCTTCTCTCTTGAAGGAATGAAAAAGAGGTACGATATCAGCTGATTGAATTTTTAATCTTATGGAAAAACAACTTCCGGGCCCAAAACGAAAATCAGTTCTATAAAGATTTTTCCTTGCTTTTTCTTCGTGACAGAATTTTTTGTTCAATTAATTTTTCTAATCGTTTCATGGTGGAGGTTAAATCACTAGAGAGTTTTAGATTGACTTTTTTCTTCCCGCAAACGGCAAACGTGACCACGTTTTCATCGTTTCCCTGTATTTTACTTAACCCTTTACAAACTTTTTCACTACACACAAAATATTCTTTTGTTATTCTACTACTTGGATTCTTTTCCAAGTTCTTTTCAGTAATGTAAAATACTTTTTCACTGGTCAACTGACGTTTGAAGTTTGCCGTGAACGTAAATCTAAAACTCTCTATTAAGGATATTTTCCCTCTTATTTTATCGCGGTTTTTGGACCCGGAAATATRTAATTGTAAGCTCCAAGTTAAGCAATTACAGAATTGGATGAGGTTGACCATGATGCCATAAATTATCTGGAGAAAGATCTGCAGATAATATATGTAAAGTTCACTCGCTGTCGTGTATTGGCTGAATTTTCTCAGCCAATCAGACGCGAGATAGCTAGAAAATCTCTAGACCGCATTTAGTGGCTTTATGAATTACCTTTGATTGTCTTGATCTCAAGAAGTTCACTTGGTTCACTCATACCATAATCATTATGCGCCTTGGCTCGTATCATATAGCTCGACCCAGGTTCCAAGTCACTCATTTTATGTTGTAGCGCAGGGACTGAGGCGAGTGTCTTCCATACTTTAACCCCCTTGCCAAATTCCTTGTACTGTAATGAGTATAACGACACGCGGTACATATCGTGCAGTTCTGGAGGGGCCCAGTGGACGTTGACCGAGGTGGACTGGATGTCACTTGAGGTCAGGTTTACTGGGGCTGGTGGTCTTCCTGTGTTACAATAAATGCTCTAAGAAACTCGATAACTTTATGCAGAATATTTATGAATTCGAACGATGCACATTTTTACCCCCATGGTATCCCATGAGGCATTTCAACGTCTTTTTTCAGTATTCTTCGACGCTCGTCAAAACGTCAGGCAATAATGTGAAGAAACATTAGGGTTTTGGTTGTATCAAGCATGATGATTGGCAGTTATATTTCATGTATTCTAATTTTGTCTGGTTTATCTTAGCTAGTGCCAGAAGAAAAGTTAGAAAAATTAATAGCAATTATATAACATGTATCAGATGATTTTGCTTCGCACTATTAATAATAATAAGAATTTTAGCTAGTGAGCTATAAGTTACCCACCTCGCAGCTGTATCGTTTTCGAGACTCTCAGTTTACCAATGTACCCGGTAGCGACCATCTTCCGTAACGACTCGCCGACTTGTGTTTTCGCCTTATCGTTGGAATCAGCCGACTTGTCTTTTGCCATCACAACTCTAAATAGAGCTTTAACACTTCCTTTACTGATGAAAAACAAAGAAATTCCTTAGATCTATGTCTTTAATTAATAATTGTTTTATGGCTGTCGCCTTCAGGTGTTTAGTCAGCTCGTTTGTCATTCTTTGAGCGCATTCTCGACGCACTGTTCGTGTCTCCCTCCAATGGGCATAAGTGGTAAGAACGCCAATCGAGAGTCACGATATGATGAACATAATGTTTTCACCAAACATTTTTGTTTCCAATCCCATCACCATTTGCATATTTGGCTGCAAATGCAAGGCATATAGGACATCCTTTTACTTTAAACGTATCCTCCTATTCTTTGGGTGCAAGTTTGCATGCATTTTGCAATTTTGGTTGACCTTGACAAAAAGTTGATTGGTCTTGCTGTCTTTTATCACGTCATCCAACATGGAGGCCACGTCGTCTAACCTTCTATTCTCATGGGAAAGGATGCACCCCACTGAATTTAGAATAATTATTGCTACTTACATGAATCTGATGATCTCCACTCTCTTGAATCCTTTTATTTTCACAAACAAATCAGATAACTAAGAAAAACACGTTTAAAAAATACTAGTTTAAAGATTTATTGACTGAAAACGCTCCATCGCTCCACAAGTTTAGCAGTAATAGCATATACCAGTATGTCGTCTCTCAGCTCTGGGGTCTCGAATTAGATTCCCAGAGATCGCAATCACATTTAGCCGTGCTCCGACTTAGAATATCCCAGAGGCTGTTCCAGTGTTCCATRTGTGAGTTAGCCGTGCCCTGGCATTGATCAGCTCAGAGGTTGTTTCAGGGTGTTAGTCGTGCCCCAATTTTCATCAGTCCAGAGGTTGTTTAAATCAGGATGTCTATAACATTTACGGGTTTGAAGCCATATGTATTTACCTTTGTCCTCAGTTCTTCCTCTAGTATCCTGTATCTCAAAGACTCTCTGTCTTGCAGATCTTTTTCGAAGGTTTCCGCGATTAACGTCACAGTAGCATGCACCATGAACTGATCTTGAAGGAAAGGCAGGGCAAATTATGCATTGTGTTTGTGAACTCATACACTGAACCTTTTATTATGGGACTTTTTCGTGATTTACCAGTACTACGAGTAAAAGACTGCGGTGCGGCTTGTTGCGCATGCGCAACAACAAGTTTACTTTGGAAGGACATTTTTATTGCAAATATTGTATGTGTATTACATTTCCGTGCCACTCATCCTGGTCAACGACGGGCAGCGGTTTGCTCTTAAGTTTGCGCCCAAAGGATGGTAGAAGCAACATGCTGTGCAACACATTTATTAATTTGTAGCAATAGATCAGATCCTAAAAAGGGTCAGTTGAGACGCACCATACATTTACCTTCTCTGACTGTCAGGTTGATATCCATACGTTCCTCTCCTAGTCTGTTTCTTGCAATGCACGTGTAGATACCAGCATCTCTTATGCTTGTATCTGTTATCAACAACGAACCATCATCCTGTTGCATTTTACTACGCATCCTTTTCGTCGAGTCATCGAGAGTATCGACCTCGTGTACAGCCAACGCCCCTTTGATATAAACACCATACGGGGTGGTCCAAGAGACTTCAGGGGCTGGGATTCCAAAMACTTCACAACGTATGGTGACATTTTCACCCTTTGTTGCTTCTGTGTGACGACTTAATCTCGTTATTACAGGACGAGCTGGAGAATTAAAAAATATATTTTGCTTCGAACTGTTCCCTTATTTCGTGAAAACAAACCTTTATATATGATACAGATATTATTCACAAGACAACCCAGCATGACAAYAAGTATTGCTTGGAGTTTTTCTCTCTCTTCCAATTATTTCTTTCTTTCCAATGTTTGGTTTTGTTTCTTTGGCAACTGATTCGTTCCTTCACTGACTTTTATCTTTTCCAAATAGTTCAGCTCTTTATATTTAGTCTAATGTTCATAACGAATTATACRGCTATCTCTATAGCAATTAACGCCGTCTTCGTGGCAACTAGAGTTCTCTTAGAGAACTCAGCTAGAAGTGCTTCTATATGACAACTAGGGATGTATGTATTAATCATTATTAATTATTATTATATCTATGGCAAATGAGAAAGTGCTGTCTCCGTGACATCTCGTTATGTTTCTATGAAAACCAAGATGTCAACTATGTCTTGTACTTCATAAAAGAAAACAATTTTTATTTCTTGAAACTGCTTTTGCTGCAACAAATATAATGGCTTCTACGGCAACCAGCACTGTTACTATGACAATATTTTTACTTACCATAACACGCAGATCCATTTCCTACAAATCCAGGAAGACAAGAACAGTTGAACGAGCCCACATTGTTGTTGCATACAGCATTTGGGTCACAGCTGTAATATTCTGGATTTCCGCACTCGTTGAAATCTATTTTAGATAAAAAAATGACAGTGATGAGTATAGCGATACTTCATGTGACATAAGCCTTTGTTATTTATGTGCCAACCAGACACCCTTATCTCATCCTAATTCATCTGAGATCATTGTGTGAAAATGGTTGTTGACATATCAACACCAAAAAGTTTTTGTTAGTAAACGTCAACGATATCGATATAAAAGGACCAACTAAGGTTATCATATCCTTTTCCGAACGAGAATGCACGTCATTTTTCACTGACATATCATCATATAGCCTATGAGAAGGGACCTTCTCACGCGGCGGCCATGTTGGCAGCTTGGAACAACAGTGAGCTAGGAACTGGATAACTTGCATTCAAACGCTTTGGGATAAGTTTACTAAAGTACCTCTGCTTAAGTAATGTTCTAACGTAAACAAAAGACTGCAACTCACCCTGGACTAAAATATGGCTAGGGCTTTGAGTGAYGTTTCTCATTTGTCCAATCATCGCAGCGATTGTAAGACTATTCAGTACGTTTGCAGGCATTATGGAGGAATGGATGTCGAACTTGACAAGAAAATCAGCCGAGGCATTACTACTGCTGTTTGGTCTGCAGAAGGGAAATCATCAGGTTATTTCAGTCATGGTATATTGAAGAGCTATTCACAGCTGTGCTTGAGGATAGATAAATAAATATGAACTGTATTATAAGTGGCTGCCAGAAGCGCTTTCACGTCTTCAGTTCAACCCTGGTATTTAGCGATAACAAGTTTTATTCATAAGTGGCAACGGTTTCTAAATCAAAGGTTAGCCATTGCTGCGGGCACGCAAACTCTAAAGCAATAAAAAAGGTTGCTAGAAGTTTTAAAGGTACTCCGTCAAAGTGCTAGAATATATAGTCAATTCAAAAAATGTTGTCGTCGAGCAACTCAAGCCTACGCGACTAGACCGAAAGGAACTATGGGTAGTAATCATTGAAGCCGAGTTGACTGCATAATTTTATCTGACTAGTTATGCATGGTTTACAGCACGAACGTTCGTAGGCGAGCGGGAAGTGTTGAAGGAGACGTTTTTTAAATGCCTTCATATTTTCGAAATTGTGAACTGAATCATAACTACCTTGTTTTTCTTTCCCTAAACCCAAAGACATGCATTTGATGAATTGTTTCTTGCCATTATTATCTTATTACTAGCGGGAACAATTTATTCAGAACGAATATTTAAACCGCTTCAGTGATTTTTACCCATATTTCTTTCGGTCCAGTCGCGTAGGCTTGAGCCAGTCGACGACAACGTTTTTTGAATTGACTGTATACTTACCTGTATTTCAAGACATTACTGCCTAAATAGAAATCACCAATCAAGGAAAGCATCAAGACTTTATCCAACTAAACACAAGAAAGTAATGATAATAACAAGTGGTAATAGTTAATCATTAAACAWATTTGTGCTTATAAGGAATTCATGTTATTGCGTTTCGCTTGACAACGAAGTCCTAACAAATAGCACAGGAAACTTTGACCATGAGTATAGCACCTGTTTTTGAATTATCGTCGTTGATTGGACAGGCGTTTCGTTGGTATGAATGTCGTCAGTTACTATGGAAACGTTGAAGTTCCTCGTTCGTGATGTACTTTCTTGAAACAAAAATAAGAATAACGATTAGACAATGTCATTCATTCACTTAGATGTCACGTTATGACAACAATACCTAATGGCAGCAGGCGAATCACTTGTTTCTCTGTGGTTATGCGCCCGCAAWCATGCTGAACCGTCCATTCACGCACCAGGTTCCTCGCGGTCGTAAAACAGGGAGAATGAATGTGATCTTTGAATGTTACTTCGACCGAGCCTTGACACGGATTCTTCAGCACTTTAACTTTTCCGAGTGTTTCTGGTGTCAGATATTTCCTCGCTCGACAAGTCAGCGTCATGTCCTTCGGAAAATCCAACATTGGATTTGGCGAAGTTTTAACGACGATGTATTGATTAGTTGTCTTTGTGTTCGTACAGGCATCGGTGACTGTCCATTGCCGTACTACAGTAAAACCGCATTCATTTTTATTGATAATGTGATCGGAGAATGTTATACTAACAGGACCYCGCGCACCGCACACTCCGTGCGCTTCTCCTATCGCTTGTCCTTGTTTACTCGGCCCCAGAGATATGTTTGAGCAGCTTTTGACAGAGGCATTCACAGGTAGGAACAGACTTGGAGGAGAAGATACGAGATCTTCGTCTATTTTACCATCACCGTCATCATCAACGCCATTGAATATTTCTTCATCGATTCGTCCATCGCAGTCATTATCAATGCCGTCCACTGGAACCATCTTAGACTTCACGCAACCACTGACAGATTTGTAAATCCTGATTCCCCCAGGAAACCCGTATGCTTCCTTAATCAACGTCCCGTATGTAAGTAAAGCGAACGTGGTTCGAGGATTTGTGTGAAAGATGCGGTACGAACCGTCTTTTGTAAGATTCAAACGACAAACAGAATACGACGTTCCGTTGACCACGATACACTGGGTGAAATTTAGATTTGAGTTAAGCTTTCCTTGATGAACTACTTTTATGTCATGGATTTCTGACGTGTTTACTGTAACACTGACATAGCTAGTGAATCTAGCTTCTTGGTACAAGGGCACGAATACCACGTAGTCGTTACTGTACTGGTTAGTAGCGGGTACAATGGACATAAAGGGATCAAACAAGCTATCATCGACACTAAAACCCTTAGCATACTGGACCATCAGGCATGGCTTGGACGTCGCAACCAAATGAAGCTCGTTGTACGCAGAATCAAATTCRTGCTGCTCACCAGCTTGTATTGTAGACACTCGCTTACTKTCAATGAAGACCTCAGTGTTGTCGCTAGCCGCTATAACRTGGAATAGATCTCCAGCCTTTCGATTGGTTGTTGCTATGGTGATAAACTCATTCCCCCATAGATCAACAGGAGGGAGCTGTTCTACTAGGTGGTCACATGACTTCATGTTTATTGGGACATAAGCACAATCATTGCCCGAATACACGGCTACAGGCTTGTTACTCGTTACTCTAGTCCCAGTCAAATCTTCTCGGTCAGAAACGACCTGGAAAGACTGGAGCGAGTCCAATGTCAGCGATATAGTATCACCATTGCGATACATGGTAGAGCGAAAAGTTACCTTCCCTTGCCCCGTGATTTTTAACTTGATGTTCACCAGGGTATTGTTTGAAGGAGCCACTACAAGTATTATTGCACTCATCACTGCTTCAAACGTTGATATCACGTGATTAGTTCCAAGTGCYGACACAGGAAGCCCAAGGAATCCTTCGCTTGACCTTGTCACAAAGCTCATTCCGTATACACTAAACTTATCACTAGCTGTTAGTCGTATTCCTTTTCTCTCGATACCGGTTTTGCCATCCATTCGAGYCCTCCCCGGTAGGTCCACTTCCCGTGGTGTACCCGGTGTGACTAGGACATGTGTATCTAGATTGATCGAGGGTGCCTGAACTCGTACAATGGTCTGTGTATCGCTTGTGAGGTAGAGGCGGTTGGTACCGTTTGTGACATGCTTGAAATGCTGAGTAATGAACCCCACTACGAAGTCGCTGCCACGGCTGTCAATCAATAAACCTGAAATAAAAATCACGCGGTACAAGTATATTTTTACCTCAGTACTGCACTTAAATTCTGACTAGAATATGGCAGATATAAATAGTTGCATAAAGACTACATTTCCATAGTCGTTTTGGTTGCTAAGCATTTTCTGCRCAGTATTGGTCATTCTCAGGTCAATGATATCTTCCAGCCCTTGAAAGCATTCTTAATTGGATTCGTCTACACGGAGTAAATTTAAAGGTCGCACATCAAAAATTGATTTTTTTGCCGCTATTCTTTTGAAGCAAACAGGTTTTACCCCCTWGGCAAGCACCTTGAAGTTTCTCTTAGATTCGAGAACAATCTACCAGCGATGTGTCGGCCAGTTAGCATTAAGTTTCCCCGTGCATCTTAATTGTAATTAATCGTAAATAAGAAGTGTAGGATTAGTTAGAATTTAGAAATTAGAATTAGAATTTCATCTCAACATTTTAWAGATTCGCGGTAAAAATACTGTACAAAAATAGCCAGAAAAAGCTAGAAATACGAATGAAAGTGTAAAGTAAAGACAACTTAAAACAAAACAAGAAAAATCAAGTTTTGCGAAACAAGGTAAAAACATGAAGAAGCTAGGTTATATGGGAAAAAAATTGAACTTTTGGGTAGCATTTTTAAAGGTTTTGTACATGCCGGCAACAAGCYACTGAGGACATATATCGAGTGCTTGTCTTGGAGGGAAATGTTACAGCTTAATGAATCGTCACGGGAATTCAATAAAATTTTTTTTATATTAGTAATTTTTCATATTAATAGTAATATCGTGATTCAAAGGGGGAAAAAAGAGAAAAAGATAAAGGAAATGTTAATTTTGTATGAATTATTTCTGGAAAACAAAGGAGCAAAAAAATTATAACTGATAAGGTAACGAGGAAGTGTAAGACCTGCTTCGAAAAAGAGTGATACTCATCTTTGAGAACTACGTTTGGAAGGATTAATTTCATTAGCTTTAAATTACCAAAAGACCAGCCAAATAAATCATGTCAAGAAAGAACTTACGGAAATGCCTATCTATTATTAATCTCTTGTTGAAACCTTTGAAATTTTTCTCATAGACTATTGTCATATATCATTACTAATTATATATCCAACAGAAAAGCCTTAGAGCACAGCTGGACTAACCACAGTACGAGTCTYCCAGTGAATATAGTTGAATAGATATAAGAAGAGCYCAGAYAYATGGGTTATTTATACGYTGTATTGTTTGATAATCATCTATGTAMGGCTCGTTGAATCCACGAGGTCAAAACGTTACTCTCAGGTGATTTCAACCGTATATCGATATCWTGACGGTATTCTAAGACAATATTTAACGCGTTCAACATTTGATTTCAGTGCCSTTTAAACCCCAATAAATCTTCTAAGAACAGCTATAAAATTTCATAACATTTTAAGTACGATGTAAGTAAAGTTAACTCATTTATACTTAGCAAAACACACTTATAAACTACAGATTTATTGAGTGGCAAATGAGTTAACAGCTAATAAAAAAATGAGTGATTTTTCTTTACGCGAAAGAGGTGAGAAAAGCTTCAAATGTAATTATTCACTGTCTATATACCCGTCTGATTTACTCGGAAAGTTCTTCATTTAGTTTCGAAGTTCGAAAAAACGTTCAAACAGAACAAGCAATACAACAGCTTAAACACAATACACAAGGTTAAATTCTTAGCSTCTATAAATAACTTAGAAATATCRTAGTTAAAGAATAGAAGTATTATCAGTTAGTAGTGTTATTGTTAGTTCTTACCGTAGGAAGATYGCAGRAAAAGCAAAAGAAGGAAAATACGGTGTATTCTAGTCGCCATGTTGGGTTACAAATGACATAAAATTGCGGCGAACGTCATCTATTCATACTGAATATAACATGGGTGTGGGTAATCAAARCTAAATGACCCGGAACTGCTTGCGTGACGCCACTTCACTCATAAATATAAGACAATAAAGTTTTTATAATTCTATTAAAGGACATGCTGAGATTTAAGCTTGCTGTTGTGAGTTGCATTTCGCATTTATTGAGAATAAGAATGATTTTCTGCTCGTTACTATCATCTTGTGAAAATATATAAAGACTTAATAGTGTATATTTAATCTTCTTTTAGTAATCTCTTTTTAATCTTATATAAATCACGCATATGTATTTCTGATCATGGTGATCTTTTGTCTCATAGATTCTTATCTTAACCACAGTCTGGCGGGAAGTAGGCTCAGAAACCCCGCTGAYACCCTAATAATTGAGCCGAAAATATTGACTTCATATCTTGTTTTCACAAAATGAATGGCTTTACGTGTACATAAGACTAWGTAATTTACTGATATTACCAAGGTCGATATATGTAGATTCTGATTCTGTATAATTCTGTAGTCTGCAAAAATGTCTTTGTCATGAGAGACAACCGGAAGTGAACCTTCATATTTTTTTGCCAGCTTTACTTCCGGTCACCGCAAAACGTAAGCTCARTCTATGCGGAATCTGTTACGGCAGAAACATAGCCGCTCAACATGTCATGGTTAACCTTTTGTTCAAAAATGAGCCACCCAYTGAAGGTGTACCAAATCCGATCTATTCTAAATGGTATGTAACGTRAATCATTGCAGTGTTGTTAGAAAACACTGTTGAAGTCTGAMGTCATCAGGCTCGATGCTGTCTTCGCTTTATTCTGCTTTCCCTTTATYAATTTTGATGCTGAAAAACATAAGAAATCAACTGGTTAGTTTATTTTTAGATGTCTTCCATTTGCGCACACATATGAAGCTGTAGTTGCCTTCGGAGAGGATGAGAGGGATTGGAGCAGAAGGAAGGGGAAGGAGAAAATGTGGAAAAACATACAGGTCCAGTGGTTATAGTTTTTTAGATTTTTTCTCTTTGCGCCGGCATAAATAAGTAGGCTGTAGTTGCCTTCAGTGAGGATGATAGACATAGA